TGTGTACATGGATCCCTAGGGCAAGTTCTAAACTGGAATGAGGGTGTATGATCAACCTTGAGTAACTAACATACCTCTATAAAGGGATTTATACATGATACTGTAGGCAAGGTCAACATGAGGCTTTATGACGTTGAGTTTGAGGTTTGTGGGGCTTTCTTGATGTATACATGTTGTATCCATGCATGGTTTCGTGCTTAGCTTTAGGGTTTGGTTTAGGGCTTGGGGGATGTCTGTGACCTGCTCCATAGGCATACAAGGGACAAATAGCAATGGTGGCATCCAGTGATATGGCTGAATCCCAAATCAAACGGTCACTGAACTGTTGATCAACCACACCCTCAGAAGCGAGCGAAGATGATAAGAATCTATCCGGATAGCCGCTTTGACGGTGGCTCATGAGGGCTTATTGGGCAAGACTTGAATATGAGGATTGGTTACCCCAACGCCCCCCAAACTTTGACCGTTGTGACAATCATAGGACTCTTAGACGGTCTTTTGAATAGAGGCTGGGGTTACCAGTTACCAAAATCCTGTGATCAAGTTGGGGCAGGGGGTCAGCAGCAGTTTTGATGACAACATTTCAAACAATTAATTTAATCCCGCCCAAACTTTCATAGTCTCTTTTTCAGGCAGCGTAGTCTTGACTGGTTGCACGAGAGCTTTGCAGGGTGTTTTCTAAAAGGCCGCAAAGTAGTACATCGATGTATGCCTCCGGCTCAGAATACAGTGACCATCAGCCACAGTTACGGGGAACCAGTGCCCATAGACAAATTTCAAAAGACCCTGCCATCTTCCTCTGGGTTCTGTCATCTGTATTTTCATCCTCAGAAGATGGATTCCACAGGGTCCACGTACGCTTCTAAATGAGCATACCCTGAGCTGTGTGGCCGTTCAGGAACTTGAATTAAGCTACTATATTGGAAAATCCATATTAATTAGTATATATATATGTCCCCGTTATGGTAACTTGATTTAAGTTCGGGAACAGCAACCAGTAAAGTATAGCCAGATTATCCACTTTTTCATTGAAGGAACCTTCCTTCTCAGAAGCCCTACCGGAATGGCATTTAAGGCTGTTATTCTGGGTTTAGGACTAATATTCTACATCCTTTTCGGGGGTGGTTAGGCTTAAATCCTAACATAATCCCATTATATTCCCATATATACCCAATTATAATGTAGTAGTTTCCATTTTCTTTTCCATTCTCCCGATATAAGCCTAAACCCTAAACCCCAATCCCTAGACCCCGAACCTGTGGACCTGGTACAGTCTGAGCTGCGCTCGTAGCCGTCGGCGCAGGCGCTTCTGTGAAGATGGCATATTGTCGGTTAGGGATTTTTGGGTTAGGGATTTAGGAGTTAGGGATTTAGGGTTTAGGGATTTAGGGGTTAGGGATTTAGGGCTTAGCGATCTAGGGGTTAGGGCTGGACCCCGAAAGTATGTAAAATAATGGCCTTTATGGCTGTTGTTATGAGTTTAGGGCTAGTATTTTACATACTTTTGGGGTTGAGGTAAGGCTTGGTGTTCTGAGTTTACAGGGTTCAGGGTTTAGCATTCAGGGTTTGGGATTTATTGTTGATGGGACTGATGAAGGCAGAAGAGCTAAAACACGACTTGAAGATTGGGCTTGTCATTCGAAACTTCCGTGTTAGAAGAAATTGCAAGCGGGATCTCCCGTGAGGGTTCCGTGTGAGCCATGAGATTGGGGCTTGACTTGGGTACCAGCCCCGCCAAACGCCAGTGGCCAAATGTGAAGGTAGACAGGCAAGATAGCGGTACATCTTCAATAGCAGCTAGAGCAGCCGAAGAGGGGAACCCACATATACAGATACATATACATACACATATTCATATGCACCTGTATATATCTATATATATATATAGATATAGATATAGCGGTACTGTAATCCTTCGTGTAGCAACCCCCCCTGAAAGGACTGTACTTTTGGGAAGGCCCCATATGCGCTGTAGTCTAAACTCCTGGAATCCCCCTTCATAACCCCTGCAGTATAGGGTTTTGGGTTTAGGGCTTAGGGTCTAAACTCCTAGTATCCCCCTTAATAAGCCCTATAATACTCCCCTATATAGCCCCTTAGAAAGGAGCTTAGACTGCAGTACATGTATGGGTGGTTGTCAAAATTATGGTCCCTTCGAGGAATCCCTGACTAAGACCTGGGGCAGAGGGGAAGCCTGGACTCTTGGGGTTTGAGGGCTTGGCGTTTAGGGTTTGGGGTTGAAGGTTAAGGGTTTGGGGTTTAGGGTGAAGGGGTTTAGGGTAGATAGCTGGCCACGCGCACCTCGATCTCCCAAGTCAGAGCCGGCAAGCTGCCTTTGCAGCGTTTCAGATATCTGCCTCAAAGAGGGGCCAGCTCCAACGACTGCAACAGCATCCTCACCTTCGAAACGGGCAGACACCTCGCCATGCTCGGGCAGACCGCTAAGGAGAGCTCGCCATCAAAAAGCTTGGACAGGTGAGCTCTGTTGCGTCCAGCTGCGAGATGAAACATCTCTCCAAGTCCACGCACGCTTGGAGGAGTTTGGGGTTTAGGGCTTTGGAGTTTAGAGTTTCGGGGTGCAACTTGTCACAACCCAGCTCCTCGACTCTAGAGGGCTAGAAGGTCCTAATGATGTTGTTCAGGCTACCCTGAACCCAAACTACAAAGCTTAGCCCCTAAAGCCGAAACTGTTATGGATGGGTACAGAAACGCTAAACACCTGCTCTACTACGGAAGCAGTAGTACTCCACTGTTGGGCAAGCCAACTCTTAGGGTACAGTATGCGGGGATTATCAAAACGATGAAGCAAGAAAATGGAAACTGAGGGTGTGGGGCACGTATACCCTGAACCCTACCTTGGGGGTTAGGGTTCAGCCTTTAGGGTTTAGGTTTTAGGGTTTGCCTCCGAACCCTCAGACTAGACAAATCTCTGCGACAGGCCTTGGAGTTTATTTCATGACAACTCTAAACCCTGGACCCAAAGCTCCGAACCCCCAACCCTAGACTCTAAATAACCCCTAAACACCCCAAGCCCTAAATCCTAGACTCTAAGCCCCGAAACCCTAGATCCCATAGACTCTAGGCCCCTGAACACGAAGCCCTAAACTCCTAAAGCCTAAACCCCCATGTTCCCAACCTTGGGGATTGGGTCTACCTTGGACATTTGCAGTACATAATTTCGGCTTAGGGTTTATTTTTTGTCGGTTTAGGTTCTAGGGTCTCCATGGACCATAAAAAACCTTTGAGAGCTCACGAAATTTTCAAGGTGTGAGCCATGACAGAGCACTTTCCAAATCCAGAAAAGTTCGGACCCAGCAGCCTACAACAATCAGGTGACTATCATTCCCTAAGGGTCCGAGGACCCAAAACCACAGGGTTTAGGGCCCAAATACTATTAATATTATAGTGCTTGGGCCCTATAACCCCAGTATTTGGGTCCTTGGACCCTTAGGGATTGGGTCATAGCTGTCAGCGTTGCGGGCCTAGCCAAACCCTATTTTCTTAATGAAGGCAAAGCCCCAGGAAGAGGTGCCTGCTAGAACCTCTTGCCAAGCTAACCAGGCGTTCATCCGCAAACGGCGAATGCGAGACGCAGCCGATGCCTGCATGCGGGATGATAAGGCGTGTTGTTGAACATGATTCTGAAATCATATACAAACAACTTATACAAATATAAAGCCGGAATTTCTATATAGCAAACTTCTAGCCAGATACCAGGTTCAGGGTTTGGGGGAGGTATAGGTTCTACCTGCCTAAAGTGTCCAACTTGATCCGGGGCTCGGATTTCAGCGTTAGTTCTACAAGCTATAACCTAAACTCCTTAAAGGGAGGGTAGGGGGGATTATATTGGAGAGTGTAATTAGAAGACAGACCCCTGATTCATAAACCCATTCCCCTTACTAGGGGTCATAATAGGGATCCTAATATTAATGCCCTTCAAAGGAGAGGGTTTATTCATCACGGGTTATTAAGGGGGCTACTAGGAGTTTAGATTCTAGCTCATATAGCGGTGGGAATCTCCGGCAACGTGTTGGGAGGTTCATGGGCACTTTTATTTTGGCTGATGTTTGTTAGCAGGGAGGACAGAAGCTGTTGATGCCAAAAATCCTACGTGACGTTACCATTCTAGAGTATCATGATCCCCGGGGCAATGCTGGATTTTTGGTCTGCACGGACGGATTCCTAGGAGCTGCCATATGATCCTCGAGAATGTCACAGTATGAACCTCATTTTCATGTCCTTCGTTCCCTTCTAACAATCTTAGGGTTTCCCGACCAGCATGGAATTCGGAATTGTCTGAAGCTTTGGGGAAATTCTTCAGCACCCTTTGATTCATTTGGGGATTGCTGATTTCTGCGAAGATGCGCGAGAACTAATAGTGTTTAGCAGTTGTAACGTTTAGTAACGTAAGCTAAACCCTGAGAGGGCAGGGTTTCCTATAGTGCTATCATGCGTTTGGGTCCTAACCTCTTGTTCAAACTATGGTTATTACAAAGCTTCCAAGGCTTCAAGCCTCAGGACTTCTGGTCCCAGGCCTGTCTTCTTAAACCGCTTATTCGAGGAGGCCAGACAATCATGTTTTGCGAGGGGTAATCAAAAAACTATCCAGGCCCTCGATAATAAGAATGCTTTGGGGGAGCGGAGTTATCTTGAATTTTCGGACCCGCAGGGGACGCCAAAAACAAACGCCCTGTGTTCAAAGGTTACTTGGTAGCTTCTCCAAATAGGAGGGACCCCATTTTTGACCTTTAATTTTGGGACCCCCAAAAGGGTACCCCCAATTTTAGGAAACCCCACTTGGTAGTTTCCCAAAATAAGGGGACCCTAATATAGACCCCAAAATACTATAATCCTTATTATGGGGACCCCCAATAAGGTACTCCCAATTTTAGGAAACCCCACCTTATGCTTAGTGCACACACAACGTTTCAAGACACGAAGCCTAAGGTTGCAGGCCAGAACCAAGAAGGTTTAGGGTTTAGGGGAAGATTGCGCTTTAAGGTTTAGGGTTTAGGGGAAAAATGAGGTCTAAGGTTCAGGGGTTAGGGGAAAATTGCGGTTTAGGGTTTAGGGGAAATTGCGGTTTAAGGTTTAGGGTTTAGGGGAAAACTGTTGATTTCAACAGCTACCCAAGTGCTTAACAACAACTTTGGGTGCTAACTTATCCAGTTTTTTTGAGCATTGCTGACAGGTCCAGATGAAAACTCCTACTGAATGCAATTTAAACAGCTAATTCTGAGCTTTGCAGCACTCCTCCTAATGAAGTTGCCCTAAAAACCTCCTGTGCTCTCCTATTCCATAGGGGGTATAACGGTTCAGGCTTTAGGGTTATATATTGGTGTTTAAAAGGGTTTAGGGTTTAGGATTATTGGGGATTATAAGGGGTCAGGGTTCAGGATGTTTTGTTGTGGACTACAAAAACAGCAACTGAGCTCTCCTATTGAATTTAACAGCTACTGAGCTCTGCAATTCCTTTTCTACGGAACTTAATTTAAAGCAACTACTGCGCTCCGCAACATTCCTCCTACTGAGTTACTGAGTTTACCTTAAACAGCTACTGAGCTTTCCTTTTGAATCTAGTCTCAATCAGCTGATATGGGAATCCTTCTGAGCCGATTCGAGGCCCTTCTGATCTTCCATGAAACCCGTTTGTATCTTAACCCCATAAGCATGTAGCTAAACTCCAAAGAACAGTCATAAAGGCCATTGTTTTACATTCTTTTGGGGTCCAGG